TTAAAAAAAAAACAAACATCTGGGACATAAACACTTGAGCTAGATATATCTTACTATATATTGCTAAGGTTATAACAGTCTGATTTGTGGCAACATATTTCTTGAAGAACATGAAATATACGTTTAGATTCATCAAAAAATGTATAAAATACTGGTATCTATGAAATCATTTTTGGAATATCCTGGAGGACAAAAGAATACTCTGAAGGACAGACTCCCAGTTTTTTTTTTTTCTTTTAAAGATTTATGTATTCATTTGCACAAGAACCGAGGACAAGTCAGACGTGCAGGAAGGTGAGAGGATTCACCAGACAGAGCAGGGAACAGAACAGGCAGACTGATGAAATACATTGCTGAGGGGGCAGCAGGCATGACAGGAGAGGTCTGTGTGCCATGTGGGACCCTCGCGGGCCGGCCAGGATCCAAGTGGTGCTGCAGAGGCTGCAGACAGATTCACAGCATGGCACTCAACCACTGGCACCACCGGGGAGTCCCAGACACCCAGTTTTGATCACAAATTTCAGGGCAAACCAGGATGGCTGCTCCTCCTTCTAACAATATTACAGGAAGAAGAGTGCTTTTAAGGACGAACATTGAAATACTCTGTTATGAGAAAGAGGGTGTCATTTTTTAGCTGAAAAGATTTGGGGACAAGTGAGTGCAAATTCCTTTATTAAATGAGGGATAATCATTAAAGAGTGTTAAATCCAGTACAGGAAGATGGAAATGTGATTGAGTAAAAGCATTTTGTTTTTCCAAAATATGCTCTGCCCAAAATGATGCAAAACCAGGGAAAGAGGCGTTCTATTATTGAAAATTCTGAAAGCTTGTCAATCACCTGACAGAAACTGCAAGAAACAGCAGTTCTTTCAAACACCTGACAGAAACAGCAACTGGACCCATTCTGAAAGAAAACTCTGTATGTTGCATCCCAATGACAGTTCTGAGAAGATGGAAGGAACGTGGGAATTACAGCAAATCCTAGACAACTAGAGTGACAGTAAGGGTGAGGCAAAATGAGGGGAGAGGAGGCTCAAGGTCAAGGCTAAAGTATTATGGGTGCTTTCATTGTGAGGTGAGTGGTAACATACTTTGAGGGGTATGAGCCTATTCCCCTAAATTATAAGCAGTGTTGCAAAGCAAAACAAAGTTCCTCACTAAAGAAAAAAAAAAACACAAAAATTGAAAATAGAAATTCTATATGATCTGGTTATCCTATATCTAGGTATATACAAAAAATTACAAATACATTAAATCAAATAGATATATGTGCCACCATCTTTATGGTGGTTATGTTTCAATAGCCAAGACTAAGAAACAAATTAAATACCCAAGGATAGATGATTGGCTAAAAAGGATGTGGTGTATCACACAATGGAATAGTATTCCACTGTCCCACGATGAACTCCACCATTAGTTCCAATATGATGGCCCTGACGGTATTATGCTTAGTGTAATAAGTTCCAAAACCAACACTAATACAGTTGGATTTCACTCATGTGTGGAATATAGAGAAGCCAGACAAACAGAACTAAATAATACAAAAACAAAGTTCTGTACCAATTAGCAGTTACCAGAATGGCAAGGGAAGAGGGGTAAGTAAATGATGAACAATGTGACAATTGTGTGAGAAGGACAGAATCACAGCCTTAGTGATGAACCTAATGTAGAACACACACAAGCTGATTATTAAATATGTACACTTGAGTAATATTCCATGGTATATATGTGCCGCATCTTCTTGATCCAGTCATCTATTTTTGGGCATTTGAGCTGTTTCCAAAGCTTAGCTATTGTAAATAGAGCTGCTATAAACATAGGGGTGCAGGTCAGCATTCAAAAAAGATAAACACATGCAATTTGCAACAACATGGATGGCGCTGGAAGGGATCATGCTCAGCAAAATAAGCCAGAAAGAAAAGGAAAAATACCGGATGGTCTCACTCATAGCAGGAATCTAGAGAACTTAAATAAGGGACCAGGAAAATGAATAACTATAAGAAAGTGAAAATCAAAATCAACAAAAAACTATGAACCAGAGACAGTTTTTGGGGAGTGGGGGGTAGGGGAGGGATTGGGGACAAAATGGGGGGGGTTGCAAATGTATGGGGAATATAAAAATTGAATTTATTATTTAAAAATAAATAAATAAATAAATAAATATGTACACTTGAAACTTACAGAATGTTAAAATGCAAGATTATTTCCAATAAAGAAATGAATTTAAGTAATAAAACAGATGTACAAAGCCATTACACTAATAACTATATATCATGGATGAGAGAATTTTCAATAAATGCAAAAAGTTTCCTGACCATGGATTGGAAGATATGATCTTTTCAATTTTCTGCTCTATCTATAGAGTGAATATAATTTCAAACAAAATTTCAGCAGGTATGTTTTGGAATTGGAAAACTGATTCTAAAGTTTGCATGAAGGTAGAGAGAACCCAGAGAAGTCTAGACAATCTGGAAGAATAGAGAACTTAATATAATAAATTATTGTGAAACTACAGAAATTTACAGATTTTGATGTTATAAACATTAACCAAACATTAACCACATCAATCAAACAGGTTAAAACTCCCATGTCTATATCATCACTTCACAACACAAAAGTGAAATTTGTCAGCAAACAACACTTCTCCATTAACAACACTGAAATTTATTGAGGAGACTACTTCTCAATTAATAATTCTGAATCCTCTACATATCACTTTGAATAAAATGAACCACAACTTCTACCTCACATCTTAAGAAAATTAATTTCAAATGGTTGTGGAATGAAGGTATAAAACAGTAAAGTTTTCAATGTAAATATAAATACTGTCTTTGTTATTTTATATTTTTAAAGGTGTTGTGAATACACTTGAAATATATTAACCAATTTTTGTTTCTTGAAACTAATGATTTGTATTTCTATTTTTTTCTAGGATACACATGAAAATGATTTTTTTTTAATATTGCTTGTTGTCATGCCCTTAAAGCAAGAGAAAACAGATGACTGATATTTGGGAAATTTTAATAGGTCAATATTAGACTCTCCCATCCTATCATTTATGATTCAATCTCTTTCTTTATGTTCTATCACTTCAGTCATTTGTTCATTTGCTGGAAACCTAATTTATGTTTGAACAACTATCTTTTAGTTCTCAATTCTTTTCTTGTTTTATTTGCCAATTTATCTATTGATTTTTTAATTCTAATCACTACAAATTGTATGTGTGTGTATGTTTTAAATATTTCTATTCATTTTGATAGTTTATGAATTTTATAAAAAATAATACTTTTAAATTTAGGCTAGGTCATTTTTACTTTTAGAAATATGTATTTTACATGCGCATACAGATATTCTGTTATTAAAGGATTCCTGCCAATTGACTAGCAATTATTTGATTGCCTCTTCAGAGGCAAATAAACAGTGTAATGATATTATTTCAGAGTAATCTAAGTGTTTTGCTCTTGGAGGCCTCATGGTGGGGAGACCACAGTGGACTCTACATGGGAAATGGGTGCTAGAGTCAGAGGCTCTCATCAGTTCATAGACATCATGTGATATCCCAGCTCCGTGTAACTCAGGAAAAAAGAGGAGCAAATCTCTTATTTAGTATTTTCTAGCACCCTGACAGAAATGGTCAGGGAAAGGATTATGCTAAACTCTTTAAAATTACGGTAATATTTTTTGCACACCTGGCATTTTTTTTTTTAGAAACAATTTATTGGGGCTCCCCGGTGGCACAGCTGTTGAGCCCTGGGTTGCGAAGCTGCCCACAGCCTCTGCAGCGGTGGTTCAATTCCCGGCTGCTCCCCGGCCACCGAAGGAGGTCCCACATGGCGCGCAGAACTCTCCTGCCGCCCGCTGCTCCGCTCAGCAGTGTACTTTGGTTCTTCTCCCTGCTCTGCTCCCAGCTCTGGCTCTGGTGAATTCTCTCACCCTCCCACACTTCTGACTGTACCCAGTGCTTGTATAAATAAATCTTTTTAAAAAGTTATCTACTATATTTACAAGAGGAAATTTTATGGTGTTATATGTGTGAATATTTTCATTACTCAGAAGCACATCTTTATGGCAATTTTGTGACTTTCCCTATGACCATTTGTCTATTTAGCTATAAATTCTTGACTGTCTGTGTCATGTTTGGATAACCACAGCTAACAATTTGGGAAACATTCTCCTTGGCCCTAAGTAAAGGGCACAAGTCAAGGTTAAGATGGAGTTGGCCTGGCCTTGAAGCTGCTGTGCACAAGAACCATGCTCTTTTTGAAAAGGCAGCATTTAGGAAACTGTTGCCTGGCAAATCATTAACTTTAAGAAAGACAGACTTCAAGGTTTGCAGCAGGGTTGAAAAGCTTGTTCCCAGATAATAAAGCTCTAAATTGGGTCAATTTTAGCACCACCTTTGCTATCCTCAATGCATAGATGACATCAGAGAGATTCATTAAGAAGACTCCCACCCTGGGCCTCTCCTGGTGGCACAAGGGCTGTAGCACAGCACTATGAAGCTGTCTGCAGCCACTACAGTGCAGGTTCCATCCCAGCCAGTCAGCGAGAGTCCCACATGGATCGGCAGACCTCTCCTGTCATGCCTGCTGCTCCCCTCAGCAGTGTATTTCGTCAGTCTGCCTGTTCTGTTCCTCACTCTGTCTCTGGTGAATCCTCTTACCCTCCCTTGGCTCTGGCCTGTACCCCAGTTCTTGTACAAATAAATAAATAAATAAATAAATAAACAAACAAATCTTAAAAAAAAAATGAAGACTCCCACTCAGATCCTGGACATTGTATAAATTTGGATCTATGCAAATTGAATAAAAACCTAATGGAGAAGCCCAGAGTTTAGACAGCTCTCCCAGATCTATCTGGAGGTTGTTTCTTGAATTTATTCACTACTCTTTCTTCTTTCATAAGATCTTCTAATTATTATTTGTCTCAACTTACTTAAGTCAAAAGTTTTCTCAATATATTTTGAAATTCTCACTCAAGCAAGAATTAACAGCTGTGCCTCAGCAAAAGAGGTCAGCTTTTCTTCCTTGAAAAACCTTTTTGAGAGCAGCTTTTATGGCTTGGTTTCTCAAGCTATAGATCATTGGGTTGAGAGTTGGGGGCACAACAGTGTACATAATAGTGAGAAAAAGGTCCAGAGCACTTGGAGAGTCAGAAGGTGGCTTGAGAAACTCAAAGATTCCGGTTGACATGAATAAAATGACCACAGTGAGGTGGGGAAGGCAAGTAGAAAAAGCCTTAGCTCTGCCCTCAACAGATGTCATCTTCAGCACAGTAGAGAATATCTTTGTGTAGGACACTCCAATAAACGTGACACAAAGACAGCCCGCCAAAGACAAGAAGGCACTGACGCCAACCTCGCTGATATACCTATTAGAGCAGGAGAGTTTCATGAGCTGGGGGATGTCACAGAAGAACTGGTGAATGACATGAGAGCCACAGAATTGCATGGAGAAAGTGGTCGCTGTTTGCATAGCCCCTGAAATAACCCCACTGATCCAGACCCCCAGGACTCCTCGGACACAGGTGCGGACATCTATGATGATTTCGTAGCTCAGTGGACGGCAGATGGCCACATAGCGGTCATAAGACATCACCGTGAGCATAGATATCTCAGCAACTGCACAAAGAACGAAAGCAAAACACTGTACCATGCATTCCCCGAGCGAAATGTAGCCACTGTGCATGAAAGAGTTGTAAATAGACCTTGGCACAGTCACGGAAATGTAGCACAGATCCAGGAAGGAGAGATGTTTCAGGAAGAAATACATCGGTGAGTGGAGAGTACTCTCCAAGGAAATTGCGGTGATAATAAGAATATTGCTAATTAACGCCATCACATATATGACTAAGAACAGAGACGCATGGACGAGTTCTAGCTCAGGCGTAGCAGAAAATCCCATCAGAAGAAATCCACTCATAGTAAAATTAGCCATGTTGCTTCTTAATTTCCCAGTGATGTTGGCTGCAAGACAAGATGGAAACATTTGGAATTTGTCATTGAACCTCGTTATCACCTGAAATCAAGGAAGTTAGGCTTGGAATTACTTAAAGAAGTCACCACTTCATCATTCATGGGAAGGTAGTTCTTTAAACTACTAATCTAGTGGAGAATTTTAAATGATTTGGGCTCAGTCATGAAAACATAGATAAAGGGGATTTTAAATTTTGCCATTTAAAATTGTCATTTTGGGCCTCCCCGGGGGCGCAGCAGTTGAGCGCTGGGCTGCAAAGCTGCCTGCAGCTTCTGCCGCGCCGGTTCCATCCTCGGCCACTGGCGAGGTCCCACATGGCCAGCAGACCTCTCCTGCTGTGCCCGCTGCTCCACTCAGCAGTGTTCTCGTCTGTTCTCCTGTTCTGCTACCTGCTCTGGCTCTGGAGAATTCTCTCACCCTTCCTCTCTTCTGACTGTATCCAGTGCTTGCATAAATAAATAAATCTTAAAAAAAATAAAATAAAGTTGCCATTTCAAGCAATGGGAATGAGAATGCATATTTGAATAAAATTAATACAATGTATTTAAAAATATATAATCTTTTTCGTAGTACTAGGGCATTGCATTTTGATTTGTGTACAAAGTTTTCTGTAGCTCATATACTCACATTTTTAAATGTTTGTTATCCTTATTATTTTTCAGTAATCATTCTTTCTATTTATATACCACTCCAATTACATTGGATTTCTCATTGCAATTTTATAATTTCATTTTGTATTTGAGCAGTAAAAGCCATATATTTTTGCTTCTTTAACTAAACATTTACATTCTCCATAATTGAAATTATGAAACATCAAATATATGTCAAACATTGGCAAATACTAGAAATACAACTAAATAATTATTTTCATGATAATATTTATGCAGCCATGAAAATTACCTTTTTGAAGTTTTTTTTTTTTTTAAACGGGATTTGAAAACTATTTGGTGATAAAGAAGTAAGATATGAACACTTTATGTTCTCAAAACATGTAAATGCACAGGAATGAAATAAGCTGAGAATAAAAGAGTATACGGCAATGAAACTTGCAACATCAGTGATTATTTCTGCATAGTGAGGGAATGTTGTGTTTATTGCTGGCTTATTGCTGATTTGTTAAACTGACAGAACGTGTAAGACAATGATTCTCCTTTTCAGTTCTTCAGCCTGAAATCCATGGTGTAACGATTTACTTAGAAACTGAGGGTCATGGATGCTTCTAGATTCTGCATAGATGAGACAGTCTTTGCACATAGAAGCAAAATTTATTTTTGAATAGGTTCAGTCATTTTGTTTGTGTCTGTGTATTCCACAGGATTGTTAACATATTATTACGTATGACCAAGTGATTCTATTTTAGACAATATTAAAGGGAGTCTTTGAAGGCAACCCCTTGCTTTTCTAGAGGTGATCGTGGCACACTTACTCATCTGGCATCATCTCTTATAACTGCAACTTTCCAGGTAAATTTTCTGAAGCCTCCCAAAATTTCCATTTCCATGTGTCCATGAGAAGGTTGCTTATTTTTCTTTGTGGAACCCAACAAAAAATTCATTTCCTATGTATTGAAATATTGCTTGATTTATCTAAAAGTATTTATTTGATCATTCCATTAATTTAAATGTACTCTTGTCAGTGACTATACCACATAGTGGAAACAATTACAGTTTTTGATATCATTTTGAAAATTTTATCTCTTTCCTATGAATTGAAAATATATATGCCTTCAACTTATTTTTGAAGGCATAACTTCAGTTATTTTTATCTCAGTCATTTTCTCTGTTTTTCTGTTAAATGACCATTCAGAAGTCCATTTCAGAAATTCATGTATTTCTTTACTTCAGAATCTTCTCCTAAGAATGAGATGAAATTAGAAGTCTGTGTGACTATTATGATATGAAGCATGGTCTCCTACTGTACTCTTTCAATCTATGGTTTCTTCTTGATCCTTCCTTTGGGAGGATGGAAAATATGGTTATGCTGCTCTCATGAAACTGTTGGATCCATTCTTGATTTTCAATCTTTTCTAACATATTTGAACATTTTTTTCTGAGATTTCTAATTTGGGAAGCATCTCACATCTCTTATAACTCACTAGTATAAGTGTTAATGAATGATAAGAATATGAGGTACATCCAATAGCATTAGTCTGTCATACACCCATGCTGAATTACTTCTACAATGGTTATATAGTGAAAGACATTGTTATGGAGGTGGAATTGGCACTCCACAAAATGTTTCTTGGAATAGAAGGCATTTGCAATAGTCCCCCCAGATTCCTAATTTTCATGAAAATAGTCATAGTTTATCAATAGTATCCCATTTTTAACAAGTTCAATGACATTACTAGTTCTTTCAGCCATTCACAATAAGTATCATATGGGCTTTCCATTATTCTGTGTGATCTAGCTTTTTTAGACCCTAAGGAAACTCACCAGAGCATATTTCAGGATTCCCTTCCCTCAACAGGAGAAGCTGTCAATGTGAGTAGCTGCCATTTAGCTCAAAGTCCTGATCACTGAAATCAGTCACATTCAGAAAAATGAGAACTGTCAAGAAAAGGTAAGTCTATTTCAATCTTTCTTGGGCCCCTAGTGATTAAGCAATGAAACCTCTTGGCACAAGCAGAGTTTGTGGGAGCTCTGGGTATTTGCTTTGCTGGCCAGTGCCCTGGGGGCCAAAGTTGAAATTATATTAATTGTTTCTGCAGAGTATTTTTCTGCTGAATTGATTTAATGATTCTAAGTAGTTACCTGGAATTTCAGCTTATTTTTGTTTATTGGATTAAATTATTGAAAAATATTATACTTTGGTGCAAGATTCAAGAATATTCAAAATAGAAAGTTATTAATTTACTTTATAGTAACAAATATACAATGTTTTTAGAGATTTATTTATTAATGCATACAAGAACTGGGGTACAGGGCAGAGGTGCGGGAGGTAAGAGGATTCACCAGAGACAGAGTGGGGACCAGAATGGGCAGATAGACTGAAGTACACTGCTGAGGGGAGCAGCAGGTGACACAGGAGAGGTCTGCTACACCATGTGGGTAACTCCCTGGACGACCAGAGATCGAACTGGTGCCACAGAGGCTGCAGACAGCTTCACAGAATCATGCTTCATTTCACAAATGAGGTTTTATAGTCCTAAAAATGCTATGAAATAGAATCAGAAAAAATGCTATGAAATAGAATCAGAAAAAATGCTATGAAATAGAATCAGAAAAAATGCTATGAAATAGAATCAGGTTTCCAAGTAAACTGTCCTCTGAACAGAACCTTACAACTAATTGTCAGAGCATTTCACATTTATGTTCTAAGAGCTCAAAAAGCTTTAATTTCAGCCATCCTTTTTGTACATGTATTAGTGCTCCTGAATTTGAGGAATATTCTAAATTAATGAGAAGAGTCTACAGGTTTCTGATCACTTGGTCCAACAAAAGCTATGTCTTATAAGATATCAGAATTCAGTTATTTTTTAACTTTTGTTATTTTTTAACTTTTTTTTTAATTTTTTCAGTTATTTTTAACTTTTTTAAAATTTTTTACACTTTTTAAAAGATTTATTTATTTATTTATTTATTTATTTGTTTGTTTGTTTGTTTGTTTATTTATTTATTTATACAAGCACTGGGTACAGTCAGAAGGGTGGGCGGGTACAGAACTCACCATAGCCAGAGCAGGGAGCAGAGCAGGCAGAAGGACCGAAGTACACTGCTGAGGGAAGCAGCAGGTGGCAGGAGAGGTCTGCATGCTATGTGGGACCCTCCTCCAGTGGCCGAGGAGCAGCCGGGGATAGAACTGGCATTGCAGAGGCTGCAGGCAGCTTTGCAACCCAGCGCTCAACTGCTGCGCCACCGAGGAGGCCCAATTTTTTACACTTTTTTATTCACTTATATATTTGTTCATTTTTGGACAATATTTGATTTCTCCCCTCAGGTGTGGTCCCCACAAATCTCCCACCACCACATCACTTGTGACCCATCACCAAAAGTCCTTGTGCTATTCCTTCCCCTATTTTGACCCCTCTCTCTCCCTCACCTCTGCTATATGCCTCAGATACAGAAGAGCTAAAAAGATACTTCTCCAAAGAGGAAAGACAACTGGCCAACAGTTTATGAAAAACTGTTCAACATTACTTATAATCAAGGAAATTCAAATCAAAACCACAATGAGATGCCAAGTCACTTTTGTGAGAATGGCCCATATTCAAACAAACAAACAAAAACTCACAACAACAAATTCTGGCCAGGTTGTAGAGAAAAGAGACCCTTTTCACACTACTGGTGGGATTGCAAATATCAGATTTTAAATGTGTGTATATTTTCAAGCTGTGAGCCCAAGAAGCAGGACAAACACGAAAAATGTAAGTAGAGAAAAATTTTATCCTCTTTTAAAAGTGAATTCACACTAGGTAATTATACATGTAGCTTCAAATATCTGTAGGATTATTGTATATAAGCAAGACTAGATCTGTTCTTTCACATATTATGAAAAGAAATACAATAATCGTATATAGCAGAGGAGATGTAGCTCAATGAGGAAGATGCTAAATGTTTTCATCTTAATTAGTAAATGTGGTGTCCTGGAGATGCACTGAGGTCCCATAACTATTCATGACAGCTGCATAGATATGGAGAGACACATTTTTAATTTGGTGGGATGTTTGCCACATGATCTCTAATATTTTTCTAACTCTATAATTCATAGAGTTTATCCTAATATCTAAATTATAAATGTGAGAATAACAAACTCAGATACCTTTTTCTTTTCTCTTTTGATTTCTTCTTTAATCCATTGGTTGTAAAGAGCATGTTGTTTAATTTCCACCTATTAGTGAGGTTTTCAGTTTGATACTATTGTTGTCAGACAAGATATCCCTTTCATATGATGGACTTGTCTATTTGCCATTATAATATTTATTTATGAATTGAGTTAAATTATTGACTTGCTAATTTAAT